TCTTTCCCCTGAGTCCTTCTCTTTTAAAGACCTTTTATTGTCTACTCTCCTTTCTTTTTTGCCTGGATGCCACTTGTCTGAACATTAATGTTTTCCTTGTCTATTTCTCACAGCACCTGATGGCAGGTTGCTCTGTATATACAAGCGAAGTTATAAACCGTTGGTGGTTTATTTTGGGATTTAATCACATTTGTTTCCACAGAATAAACCTCAACAAAGCTATTACACTCAAACCACGGACTTAAAGGCAGACTATCACAGTTTTTATCTGTTTGTTTTGTAGAATAAATAACTCCAACAGCATTTTGCCTTTACACTCTGAGCAGATCATAATGTGAAGTTCGGATCAAGTGATAGTGGCTGGACAACTACTGAATCCTTAAGTAAATCAGTTAGGAGTAAGCACCTTAGACTTGGGCTAATACTTAAAAGTTTAAATAAAACTTGTTATTGCTGTGCAAATTTTTCTATGCTCCCACAGGGTACATGCACCATTCATTCACAAACTCCACTTATGCAGGTTACTCTTTAACTCCAAACCTTAATTACCCAAAATAGCCTAGGCCTACTGTCAAATTCTTTACAATATTTATCATAGCAGTTGTAATACACAGCAGAGTTGGAATACACAACAGAAAAATACAAGAAAAGTATAACAAATATTTTAAAACACTGAAGAAGAACAGCAATCAGGGTTGTCAATTTTTGTTAAAGAAAAGAAGCTCCATTTATATTCCAGGTGAAAATAATATTTCGTGTAGGCCTACTGCCATCTCCTGGTAGAAAACTACTATTACATAGTTGCACACAAGTAATCGAATAGTAGCTAATAATAAAAACAGATCAGGCGTTTAAAAAAGTTCTAAGCTCAAATATAGAACTGTATCTTTAGTCTTTAAGTAGGACATCGTTTGGTTTATTTCAAAGGTGGTTCACGGAGAAGCAGACCCAAAACACGTTCGTGGTCTTTCGATGGTTGATTGTTCTTGACTGAATGAAGCTATTCGAACTTCCTACCACTGCAGCCAATCAAATAACTTTTTGGGGTTCGCTATGTCCAATCACAATGCGCACAATACAAAGTGGGCGTTAACGTCAAGTGGAGCAGCTGATCGACTTTCTTGTGCGTTGTGTTTGGAGTTTGATAACAGAAAGTAGCGGTTAGGCAGATTTCACAAAAGCGACAGGAGAGTATGACTTGGGACACGGAGTAGAAAAGAAACGGAGATATTTCTAAACGACGTTTTAGCTGGAGGGGTTAAACTGATTGTTGACGTGATAAAGGTGAGCGGATAATTGGTGGACATGCGTGATAGCAACAGCAACAGGACCCACCAGCTATGTTAGCTTTTTACCTACCACAGATATCAATCATTGTCTATAAACTAAACCGCATTATTAGAAAACGTTTGTGAATTGTAGCTAGATTAGGATTACTGCATGTCCACTCCAGCGGTATAATCAGTGTTCTCGGAGCCTCTTGGCGCTGGCTAAAGGTGGCTCCTTAAATTGCAACAGGACTCATCACCTTTCCAGTCAGGGCATTTCAAGGATGTTGCCTTCTTCATACAGCTGCCAAGGTTCACTTTGTAATGTTTAAAATAGGCTGCTGATCACATGATGGGTTTGCTGTTACAGAAAATTAAAACTTTAACACAGCTGAACAGAACACTCCAGCACAACCTGGACTTGATGTAGGAGTTAGTTCTGTGTACTGGAGTTTAGTCAAAGCTGAATAAGTGGAGGTTTGTTAAAATGTAATGTCTCCTTTTACAACAGCTATTACTCCACCACAAGTATTAACAGATTTCTTTCTCCTTCATACCCTCATCGTGTCAGCTGTTTTGACTGAAATTAGGGATGCACTGAAAACTGTGTCGTGTTTTGGGTCTGATAAACGTATAGTAAAGCTTCCCTGCCTTGTGTCAGAGAAAGCGGAGGGGAAGGGTGCTTATAGAGAGACACAGTTGCAAAACTGTGTCATTCTAAAAAGGGGTCATACTCCTGAAAAAATTAAGAGCCACTGTTTTACAGCAAGTTGTGTAATAGGCTAATGAAATGTAGTCAGTTGCACATTACATTTAAATGAAATGTTTTATATTAATTTTTGGATGTCAGCAACAGCCCCCTGTTGTACGTTTAATTTGATCATAATCAGAAATTAAGCAAAATTTCATGAAAATAAAAATGGTCTCTAAAGTCATTGCACTTTTATGGTAATGGTAATTTATATAACAGACTGCCTTATTAGTTAGTAGTACTTGTATAGGCACTCAATATTGGCAAGTATGCAAATGTAAGTACTTGTACTTGGCCTGACAAAAAGTGGCATCGGTGCAGGTATACCTTGAACGCATGCTTTCTTCCACTCTGCTGCTATACACCTCCTACTATAGCACGTAAAATTTTACTGTTGCTTCTCAAAATGAGAAGCTCTGTGATTGTGAGTTTTCTTTTTGACTGATTTGTTGTTTGATGAAATTTTCAGCCATGGAACCCTCACTGACTGGCAACTCGTCCACCCCAGAACCCGGCCCTTCGTCACCCACCGTCCTGAGGGTGGGTCCGTCCTTGTCCAACTCATCTGCTGCCACAGCCACATCAACCCCAGACCAGCCTAAGCCTAAATTCACCATGCCAACCCCTCCAGCCACACCTTCACCTTCTCCATCCACTACCTCCCCTCAGACCTTTCCCAGCCTTTCTTTGCGCTCTTCCTCCCTTTCCATGCCACCTTCCTCACCTTTCCGCCAGCCCATCAGGAGCCTCTCTCAGGCGGGCAGATCTCAGCTTAATGCAGGCTCTACAAGGAGTCCTCTATCTAGATCCTCATCTGCTGGAGCTGCCGTCACAGCTCCACACCCTCCTCCCACACCTGAATCAGGTGAGAGTCAGACTCAGACCTTTGACCTTTTACACTAATGCTAAATGAAAATCTTGGCATGCGTCGTTTCACTCTTTCAACAATCAGTGCAGCTCGATGCTCTGTTTACAATGTGTAGTATAATGTCTCCATGACAGCTGTGGACATTTACCACAACATGTAAAGCAGCCGCTCCCTTTTGCTGGCTTGAGAAGGAAAGCCTGTTTCACCCCTATCCATATCCCTCATTTAAAGTTCACTTAGATCTCTTAGCAGCACTGGGAATAACAGCATTTGGTTGCATGACTTTGCAGTGACAGCGAGATATGTTACTATGAAGTGTTGCTAGAAAGTGTGAAATTTAACACCTGAGTCATTTAATTTGTTCCACAGTTTTCCATTTGTCCCAGTCTGAGAACACACACCCTCTACTACATGTCTAGTTGTCTAGAATTTAACAAATAATCATAATGTAGCTTATGAAAGTAAAAATGCTAAACAGATTTCAACACTGTGTGCGTGGGTGTGTGTTTCATCAGGGAAGCTAGCAGCTGCTGTTGACTGTGTTAAACGGTTATTTTAGGGCTAAGGCAGAGAGTTTCTTGGTGGAAAACATGGTAGGGGAAGATTTACACTCAATTGTTTTAACAAAAGGGACACTTTTCTGTGGCAGAGCGACGGCCTTATTAGGACAGGGGGTGTTTCTAAAAGGATCCCACTCATGTTGCTGATTCTCACATCAACCTGGACTGTTTCCATAAGCCTGCTTTTCTGGGTCATGTGTGCAGACTATTTTAAAACCAAGTCAAAGGAGTGGTTATGTTTTTTCAACATTGGGCAAATCCAACCTTGTTATGTAGTTGGAATAATATATATCCAACAGATCCCAGGAACAATATCTGAGATCTCTCTCCAGAAGAGTGCAGTCCTAGAAATAGCTAAGATGTCAACAGTTTTAATTTTGTAAATCAGGGTAATTTATTCTAGCACTCACTGATGACAGATTGGTCACAAAGGCAACACATTTATGTGTGGGTGTTGATGTGCTTGTCAGGAATTAAAAACAGTTATTCTTCAGACTAAGGGCATTCACTTGCTTTTGCCTATTCCTTTACGGTATAAATAGTTGTACATCTCTTGACAATCAGTCATTAAGAGCCACAGGGATTTCATGAGGGGGATTATTTAAGTGTCACTGATACAATATGTGGCCAGTTTTAAAGATCAATGAAATCTACTGCACAGTGCTAAGTAAATGACTTTGTTTCCTTCAGAGGAGCCAGAGGAGGAGGTCAGTTTTGAAGATCTGGAGGAGAGAGCAAAGTCAGGAAATGCTAAAGCACAGACCAAGGTCAGTGCCAATGAACATACTGCATATACTGTTGACTTAAGTGGCTATATGGTGGACACAGAATAGTTCTGCTAACTAAATATTATTTGAGTGACATGTTGATGGAGAAGACAGGTTCTAGCAATGCTTGTCTTGCACGTTTGGGTGTGTGTGTCCAGATGGGGCGTTACTTCCTGGCACTGGCGGAAGAAAGAGATGAGGAGCTGAACAACTGTACAGCGGTCACTTGGCTGGTCCAGGCTGCTAAACAGGGCCGCAAGGATGCCGTCAAACTGCTGCAGCAGTGCTTAGCCTCCAGAAAAGGTACCGAAATGTCCCACTGCTACTCTTGATCTGTGTTTATTGGAAACAGTGAATTGGTTGGACTACCCTTCAGCTGGTGCACAGTGACAATATGTGTGTGTGTGTTGTTTTTTTCCCCAGGCATCACATTAGAGAACTTTGAGGAGGTGAAGAAGCTGTGTACAGAGTCACGCTTTGAGAGAGGAGTTAGGAAAGCAGCTCTACTAATGTACTGGAAGTTGAACCCAGAGAGGAAGAAGTCAGTGGCCATTTCTGAAATGCTGGAGAACGTCGAACATGTCCACATAGAGCCAGGTATGTGACAGGACAAAGTGTAATACAACATACCGGCCTCACCCTGTGTATTTTATTATTTAAAATCAAAAAGCTAATACAGGGATAAATTCTCAGTATGCTCATAGGCTAGATGTGATTTTAAATAGACAAACACATAGCTTCCATATGAAGGAGAATTTTTATTTTTATCTCATATGATCTTTCCTCTGTTTACAGGGAAACCTGCATCCCCTGGTCCACTTAACAGCTCTGCCAAGAAACAGAGGAGAGTCCTGGAGACTATGGTCACCAGTGAGGGTATGTGTGGTCTGAAACATGGTTACTAATATGATTAGTTATGTACTGTTTGTAGTTTGTTCCCAAGGCCACGTCTCAGATGTTCCAGTGGGAAGAAATGCATTATTTTTATTAACTGAAACAGATTAAATTGTTAAAATAAAACATGTCTTCTGTACCTCTTTGTAGCCACTTCCCATGTTGGTCTTGATGACTTTGTTGAGATGACTAAGAAGTATGCTCAAGGTATTGCACCATCACCAGTCATGGCTACAGCAGGAGGTGGTGACGAAGATGACGATGATGATGTAGTAGTGAAGAACCCAGATGAACTGCCCCTGCACCAGAAGGTTTATCAGTTTTATTTTTAATGCATTAATGGCACACCGCAGCCTCTGTGGAGTAGTCACTGTGCAGAGTTTTGAGTAGAGCTACAAGGGATTAGTCAGTTAACAGAAAATAAACCTACTTTGGTAATCGATTAAGTCATTTAAAAACTGCCAGTAATCCAGTGGTTCCAGCTGTTTAATCACTTTGTCTATAAAATGTCAGAACATTTTCCAGAGCCCAGTGTGGCATCTTCAAATTGCCTGTTTTGAGAAATTATCTTATTTCAAATCAGACTTTAACCTTGATGCTGATTACCTCGACTTCCTTGTGGTTCCCCCAGTTGCTGAAGTTCCCTCTGTACGCTCTGCTGGAGATCAAGGAGCACCTCATCGACTGGGCGTCACGAGCTGGCATGCAGTGGCTCAGCACCCTGATCCCCATCCACCACGTTAACGCACTTGTCTTCTTCTTTATCATCTCCAACCTCACAATCGAGTTCTTCATCTTCCTCATTCCTCTTCTGGTTTTCTACCTCTCATTCTTCTCCATGATCATCTGCACACTGCGTGTGTTCCAGGTTAGTGGCCAGTTAGGATAATTTCATAATCTGTATTCTTGATGGCGATATTAAAGTGCCTAAGTGTAATTTAAAGCATTTTACTAGAAGACTCTTGATTTGTAGTATAGATGTTCTTCTCCAAGGAGATACACATAAACAGAAATTGAGGATTTTTTTTTCTTTACAGAATTCAAAAGCATGGGAAAATTTTCGGGCTCTGACGGACTTGCTGGCTCACTTTGAACCTGGCCTCGATCTAGAGCAGGCTGAGACCAACTTTGGATGGACGCATTTGGAGCCTTATCTGTAGGCTCATCTCTATTTACATTCATCCATATGTTGGCATATATCCTTCGCTCAGTTTTTCAGTGTTTACTTAGTTTGGTTTCCAAACATTGTTTAATTTCATTCAGGTTTTACTGGTTTGGCTTCAACATTTGTTTATCACTGTCATGTAGGTACAGTCATACAGCTTTTGTTTAGTTCAGGCTTTTTGTTTTGGTATTATTGCATTGAAGAAGTGAACAGTACATTCTTAAAATATA